CCTCCCCTCGCACTGAAATGGTACGGGACAGAAGCAGAAGGTGGTTCTTAAAGAGACAGAGGCCAATTTCAAGGCGTTTAGAAGAGGAAGTGATGAGAAGATAAGTTTATTTTCTATTTAAACAAAAAAAAACAGCATTTTAATAACAGCTAAAGGTGACAGTGACTTTATTATGGTATAGTATTCAAATGTATGCCTGAGAAACATAATATTGCCCCTTTAAAGGGAATTAATTCAGAAAATCTTTTCATGGCCCCACCTTGATGTTTTGGGACCCCACTGTGGGTCACAACCCCAACTTTGGGAACCACTTGTTTAAACAATTGAATGCAGATACAGCTGAAAATCAGTTATTTATTCTGGCACCCTAAGAATTTGCACAAGTCACAAAGGTATTTCTGTGATTTAACACCAGCAGTGACTCACAATTCGCTCATGAAGGCAGAATTTAACTGGAATCTGACTTCTTTGTCTTAAAAACAACAAAGACCAAAGTCTCAAAAATATACAAGTTTTTGAGTTTTAAAAATAAAAAAGAAATTTTATTTTGTTGTCACAGTGAAATATAACAAGGAAAGCAAAAGTGTTATGGAACATTGCACACTGTTATATGCACAGCAGCAAAAGCAAAGGTTGGTAGTGAAAGCTTTTTTTTTTCTTTTTTTAGTTCTTGAGGGAAACTGCTTTTTGTGATTATTCAGATGTAAACAAATGCCACAGCAACCAGACACTATATACTACATACTATATACTATATAATTCTTTACAATAAAATTTCCTCCTAACTAATCTGGTACTTTTCTTTTTTTTGTAGGTTTCATCTTGCTCTGTTACTCGATACCAACAAATTAAAAATAAATGGCTAATAAACAAGTTTTAAAGGAACTTTAACAGTCTCCCTATCAAAACATATATAAAAACATAAAAAATAAAAATTGAACAAAATTTTCCTTTGTTTTAATCCCAGTTTTATCATTCCCAGGCCACATTTTTCCTTTTATACGCGAGTTTCAGAACATTAAAAATAAAAACAACCCAAACTCATAATGTGTGTCCTACAACACTGATGTGTTTACATGAAGCTTACAAAAAATGATCAAAAATACCAGCTAGACCACCTTGCTTTATACATGAAGTGTGACATAAAAAATGATTATTACTGACATGGATACAAATGAAGCTTTTCATTATGTCACCTGTTATGACGCCTCCATCAGTGTGAAAAGTTTCACAATCAACACCGATAAAATCAAAAACTATGATCTCTGCTTGAGCTAATTCAACCAGATTATTTACCATGTAGACTGTGTACTACAGCCTGTGACTGATATACTGTATTTATGACTGATTCACAGCCAAGTGTTTAATAAAATGGGTGCACCGATTGAAGTTTTCTGGTCGATCAATCTTTAAATTGACACTGTCAGATGTTATAAGTTCACAATACACCCTGAATGTTCCAATCTTATTGGAAAAACATGGAACAATTGAAACAATACAAACTTGTTTATCTGGGGGGTGGGGACAGAGGCTGATTTTCAGACCTTTGTGGAGAGAGGTAGAAGCCAATCATTTCCACCGATCTTAAATTATCGGTCTATTTATTGGTGCACCCCTAATGAAAAATGATTATTATACATTCGTAAATAACTTGCCCCTACATCACTAAAGAAGTGCAACATTAGGTGAAAACATGCAATCAGATTTGGATGATGATAGCACCCTGAACCCATTACTCACTGACTTACCAGAAGTACCAGAAAAAGAAATTCATTCAAACAGACTAAAAGAGACAAAAGCTTTTCTAACAGGTTCACAATCAGAAGCAGACAACCTACCAAAAAAAAAAAAAAAAACCCACAAGTTTTTTTTGTTTGTTTCCACACCGAGGACATATTCTTGCTACAATTATACATCGATGAAAATGTATGCAAAATGTGGGGTAATGAAGAGGTGCTGCTAAGCATAACTCTGTTATATAACCATGCCTCAACATTTAAAACAATGATTAAAAAAAAATCAAATAAAAACAATGGGGAAATCAGAAGTGCAAAAGAAACAAAAACCTCCATATTACGAGAAAATAAATGTTCTTTGTATTATAAAAAGTAGCAGAGTAAAAACCTGTTTTACAAACAAAATGTTATTTTCCTTTATAAAATTCCATTTCTATACATAATGATGCAATTTAAGGATTTCATTTATAGGTTTGTTGGTCTAAGTGTTATATTTAAGTTCTCAACATTCAATCTAATAACATTCCATAAAGATAGGATGATGTATAGAG